TCCTAAGAATTGAAATGCTTCATGTCACACAAATATTCAATATTTATACATAATAAATATTTTTATATGTATGAGTCAATTTAGATTATTTGTACACACATATGCATGTACTACATATACAGTATATGCATCTTCACTGCCAAAAGATGTTTTTCTCTACGTTTTCAAAAATTATGAGGTTAATGCAGTGTGGTGGAAAATGGTCTACTGCATATGGCCAGTCCAGCGCTTTGCACAATGAATTGCCTCAATTACTTGATGAATACCTTGGCTTGCAGTTTAGCTTTTATGCTACAGTATATAACTGTACTGCATTATAATTACTGAATGTCAATACTATATAAATGCCTCACTTTGTTCCTTAATATGACTAATATATTAATTAAAATGGGTATACAATATACAGTATGAAAGTCATTTAGCTGCAGTACCCCTATCTCCAGGCTCAACATGGACAGTGTTAACAATACCCTTATTTCAAAGAGAGAGTCCACAAGGCACACTCACCTCAGGTAGCTGATTGTAATCATACACAAACATCTAATACATTCCCTTGCAATCTGGTTTCTTTTTCATAATGTTTGCAGTATTTCCGATTTTTTCTGGAGGATGACAGTAAAATTTTTAGTTTACACAAGTCTTCCAGTTTACACAAGTCAGTTTACAAAAGTGCAGACGTATCAGTATTAATAAAAAGCTACTCTGACACACACAAAAACAACAGCATGTTTATTTTCCCAATAGCTTTATGATGTTTTGTCTCCTTAAAGAAATTCACAGACCTAGTGCACTTATTCCTCCCCAAAGAAATGCATGAGGAATCAAAGCCCTTAGCAGTTTATGATCAGTCTCCTAGGATGCCATTCTATTCCAGCTTGAGACAAAATACCCCCGATGACAAGAATCTAAGCTGCAAGCACATCCATCACACAGTTCATAGATTTTAATTTTTCTCCCCTTAAAACATTGCCCTGGTTTAAGAGCCGTTTATTGGCTGCCGCTGGGCATGCTTGTTCCTACAGCACTGCTCCTGGAGGCTGAATCCCCCTGGCTTTGGTAATAGAGCTCAAGAAATGTATTCTGCTCCACAACAGCAATGCAAATGTCAGTCTGCAGCTGATGAGGCAAGTGACCAGCCCATTCCCTCACTTTTAAGGAGCGCACCCCCAGAGACAGTGCTCAAGTCATCATCAGGACCACATGTCAGTTTGTGTTCACTTCACTGGAGTGCCAAGGGGAAAAAGCACAGCCACCCAGTCTTAGATAACAAGACACCTTTATGACTACATGTTCTTCTATAGGAATTAATAATCTGTCACATCAGTTACCTTGCTAGTCTGAAATGGGCAGCAGGACATGTACAGTAGCTGCTGTTAGAACTGAATGAAAGCTGACCAAGTCACACCTGCCTGGGAGCTCACTGCACAGGGAAGTAACATAGCATAAAACACAGACAACAAGAGGGAAATAGCTGATGTACTAAATGAACATTTCAATCAGGGGTCCTCTGAGGACGAAGTCAGCAACATGTCTCAGACAATGGAAGGACAAAGTATTAACACAGAAGAGGGAGAGGTGTTTCTGGTACGAGAAGCACTCAAGATTAATACATTTTGGGTCCAGTGGACTTCTTCAGAATCATCAGTAAATCATGAACTAGAGGACACAAGTGAAAACCACATGGAAGTGTAATTAAAACAGAGAACCAGAGGTACTCACAGTATGTACAGAAAGGGTTGTGGGCGTATGGAACACGTTTGCCAGCCATGTTGTTGAAGCTCATATTCTGGCTTCTTTTAAGAAATGGTTGAATGAGATCCTTGGATCAATTGAACATATGCTCCTACTAGATGTACCAAATGGTCTCTTTTTGATTGTAACCTTTCTTATGTTCTTTTAATTCAAAAATATTAATTGATCATGTCAAATGTTTTTAGACAATGCAATATCATATTGACTAAAGCATGATCAAAATCATAGGTAAAATAAAAAATATATGACAAACAGTACTATTACAGTAATTATTTGATTTTGAATATGAAGATGCAGATTTTTTTATTTTCATCACTGAAAGCAATGCAGGCTCATACAGTACATTCCTGGAATATTATGGGGGTCACCAATGCATGGCAAGCAGAGGACACCATAACAGGCTTTAGTCTCCCAAAGCTCAGCAGCCCCAACATGTTTTGCCACATGATGAATCACAGTACGCTGAAGACACCGAACAAGATCAAACAGAGCACATCTAGACTATAGGGCTCAACTCTTGCTACAAATAGCAGCCTTTACTGAAAACATGCTCTCTGCCTGAAAATTAAACTACTTTTCATACGTAACCATTGGCATCACTTGACATCTGAATGATCAACTAGACTAATATTTCTCATGATCCCTAAGAGTTTTTCAGCAGTAATAAGCAATTAGTTGCTCACTTTATTTAACACATCTCCAGTATCCTTTAAATGATTTTATCATAAGCATTTCATGGATCTGTTGGTGCCTGTACTAAATAATTTTGTTTAATGGGGTGCATCATTTTTAATGCAATAAAAGAATTAATTAATCTTGAAGAAAGCAAAACAACAGAAGGTTGTCAGGTAACACAGTAAAAACCGAGGGAATTTTATAAACTGAAAATAGGGGAGATGCTGTTCCACTGTTCCCACTAAATACTTTAGGAAATAATATGAACATAATGTATCTACCATTGTGCTGCTGCTTAATTGCTACAAAGATTCTGCACAAGAAAATCTATGCTCTGCAATTATTTCATGGTTTCCATAGAAAAAGAAAAGACTGACTTTTACCCTCTTGCCAGATGAAGTGAAGAAAATAACAAAAACAGTTGTCATGGTGTTACACCGTGGATGTACAGTATATCTGTGTGTCTAAGCGTGTGGGTGTGCAGGTGTCTTTTGTATGTGTTTTGCGAGAAGAAACAAGATTATTTATTTCCATTGTCCTAATCTACAGTATGTTTATAGTAAATGGCTCTGTATTGATTAGAGATTAATAACACCACTAAAAAGCAATGATGCTACTAAGTGTGAGCAATATATTTCCAGAAAGAAGGATCAAATCAGGGTTGATTAAATGGATCGCGATGGAGCAGCTTTTGTCATTAATCAGCCATTAATGTGGGACACTCATTGACAGAAATGGTGTACAGTGGGATTTCCTCTGCATTTTTTATATTATCCTGTATGGTCAATATTTAAAGATGAAACTTTTAGATCAAAATGTATGTTCGTTTATAAATCAGTTCAAGGATGGTAGGAGAGAACTTGAAGACAGAAACTATAAATCCAATTTACTGAACCATTGATTCCACAATGAAATCAATATCTGTATTTGTCTATAGAAATGTATTTGTCTGTACTGAAAATGCTTCATATGGATGGATGAATGACCTTACAGAGCTACAGTAACATTGCCTAACGTGTACAGTACCTCCTGCCTGATGGATATACAGTACAGAGCTTGAATGTATGAACCCTTCACTCATATGTGCTATCTAGATGGACACAGAGCCAGTGGCATCAACATATCCTAATGATTTGTGGCGAAACAAATCTTAAGTCTCTTCACCAACTTGTTAAACAAACGGCTATTCCACTTTCAGTATCGAAACTCTCCAGCCTCATCATTTTTTATTCTGGGTCGCGCTATAAATCTGCACAGAAAAAAAAAACATTAATCAAATTAAAAACAGGACATACAGTAAAATGTCCTGCAGGGTAGGAACAACATCTTCCATCTGCTTGTCGGGTTGATAACTGTTTACCTCTGTTAAAAGACATCGACAGGCAAAGAGCATGTCACCCAAGTAGTACTAGTCAAAAGTGATAAAAGCCGAAACAGCAGATGTTTAAAACCACAAGTAGAAAAGCTTTTACGTGTCGGTGTTTCAGAATGGAATTACTGTATGTAGCCCTGATCTGCATTTCAACGAGAATGTAAGCGATATGGGCAAAGCTAAAGTGTAAGGGGCTACAGTACATTTGGATGACACCACGCCGGCTTCTTTCTTTTCGGCTTGCACGTTGAATTATCGAAAATCTCTGTGCAGGAGCTAGCAAAGGAGTTTGTAACGCCGAGACAACACAGATATCGAAAACCCAGGTCCACAAGATTTGATTACACCCTTCATTTGCACATCGAAATGTCCAAACCCGTCATCAAGAGAAGATGAAAAAGCGTTATGTTTACGCGAGGAAAACTGAACAGCCACATAATGTGCCAGATGTTAAATTTCTGCCTCTTGCACACTAGAAGTGCACAAGCTAAAAGACAGCACTCAAGAGCTGTCACTTCAGAACCAAGCACAGCTACTGTATAGGCTGCGTATTTTACTTCATTTTAGAGCAGTGATTATTAGCAAGTCGAAGGGAAAATTGCAATCATTCTGTCACTGTCATTCAATGCACTGTACAACGACACCTGGATTTAAAAAGTGCAAAATCTTCTTAATGAAATCATAAAAGTCACAAGAAAAAACAGCGTCTTGGCAAACTTAATCGGAGTACAGAAAGTAAAGCACGAGGTTTAAGAGGCAATAGAGATTATACGCGTCCTATAAATCGACAGTGTTATTGCGGCATGCATATCTTATCATTATCATCTTCACCTCATCTTTACAAGTGTAAATAGAAACATAAGTTTCACTTACTGGATAGTAATAACGATAAAGAAGGTAAAGATGAAAGCTGAGCCCTCCTGATAGAAATAACCGTTTCAAGGCACCTTAATTTAATTAATACTTTCAGAAGAACAATAAAATCTAAAAAGCGTAGTTTTACTAATATTACTATTAAAATATTTACCAATGTAGCACTTAAAATAGTTTATTAGCTTTGACTGAGGTTACTATTTTTTTATTAATAAATACTTTGTTTTGTGTGTGGATACTCAATAATAATAAATCGTGGAACAATACTATACTACAGTGGAATCCCACTAGCAGGTGTTTATACAGTATGAAATGCTCCAGTACTTACACAAAAACTCCGAAGAGCAAAACTCTTATCCCAATCTCTAAAGCAAGGTCGCGCATGCTTTTCCTTCTGTCAGTGGGGGACAACTTCATTGTACTGTACTGTAGGTGTAGATCCACATGAAACAATCCAGTGAGGGGAAATCCGAGCTAGCCTGTTTCACGGGCTTTCAGACAGCTGACACTCAACATCCAAAGACAGCCGCAGAACTGCCATAGAGGTTCCGGTAGCAGCACAGCAAGCACCTGAAACGCAGAGCGGCGCTTCGAGGACCGAGCGAAAGAGGAGATCGTCTCGCACTGGCTCGACGGCGTCCCGAGCCAATGGTGTGCAATCGATCAGGTTGCACAGCGGTTGCACAGCAAGTCTGGAGACCAGGTGATGCTGCGATCCACTGAGCGTACTTACGTTGTGCTAGAACCATCGCCGCTCAAACCGCCTGGCTCATTTTCATCTCCTTTTCAGTGTTCAATGCCAAGAGAACTGTAGTGGTCTCTTACAGTGGTTACACTGATCGAAAGATAGTAGAATGCATTTTTCAGGGTGTACAACTTTTTTAATATTACTGTATATTTTATGGTGTTGTTTCTTAAGTGGTTACGCCGGGGGCAACTGGAGAATACTGATCAAATAATGCCGTTATTTGTAATGAACTGACCAAAGAAACTGCGAGTATTATTATTATTATTTGATTTTTTTTTTTTTTGGTGTTGCTGATTTGGAAGAAACAATGTACAGTATGCATACATGAAATATAGTGTTCATATAGCAAAGCTAATGTATTGTTTTCTGGAAGATAAGCTGTTTTTCAAATGTGATATGTATAATTTACTACTAAAATTGGAAAAACTACCTTAGTTTTTTGTCCTTAGAGATTGAAAACCAAGCATTTATTCCCCGGTTGCTTGTGAAATCCGTTGACAATTTTCAGTGTTTTGCGCATGTTATAATACTACAGTGCGTGTTGACCGCATGCAATAGCACAATTTAACTAAACGAACGTACAGTAACAAATAGATAATCCGGAATCTGTTGAATCATTAAGTAAAACGAGTCACTGACAAATAGTTGCACAGGCTGCTTTTCACAGAGAAGGCAGTTCAAATTAATAGTAAGGCATTAATTTTCAACATGTTTCATTATTTGGTTGGTGTAGTGACTAAACCATGGTGTCTTTAATGTTTGTGCTTTCCAAAAACGTCTCTTGTTACAGTATATTACAGTGCCATGTGTGACTATTGGTCTGTTTGCATGTTTGCAAGCAGCAGATGTTTCTGTAAGATAACAATTCTCATTATTAAAGTTAATCAGTGCAATTAGAGCAGAGGATTTCCTGCTAATTGGCTACGCAGAGTCTCAGTACATAACACTCATGATAATAAAACAGTGCCTTATACTGACACACTTTACAATGGAATTAATGCTGATAGTCAGAAATGTGTTTTGTGCAGCAATGTTCAAATACGTTTATGGGTTTTTTTAGTGAAAGTTCAGGAAGAGGTCAAACTGTAATCTTGCCCACTTTCACCTCCCTATGGGTGAGCACTTCCTTGATCCATCCCTCAAAAAAAGGTTGGGAAGGGAGTCCTGGCACCTTTGTCTCAATGACCAGGTTGTGATTTTCTCTCTCTGCCAGTTAAGTTAAGCCAATAAAGTGAACTAATTAAAATCACTCCTCTTTCCCTTAGTAATTATTGCTTGACCCATCCACTGAAATACACCATGCTGTTTTCCATGTATTAATTATATAAAGTATACACAATGGCAAGCTAATATGTAAACTGAATTAGTGAATTCAACATTAGATGATTAGTAAAGATAGACACCCACACACCATTGATCACTAAACCCTTTTGCGCTAGTTCATGAACTATTCAATGTTCAAAAACACAACAACAACCTTGTTCATTCCAACACACCCCATACACCCACTCAAGTCAGGCATCATGACAGATAATACTGATAAGCAGGCAAGTTTAATTGAATGGCATGTTGGTTGGACTGACGTTTTTTTTTTCTCTAAAAATGTTCAGTTCTAACATCAGAGAAGAATATGTTTAGTACGATCATCAATGAGATGGTTTTGAAACAAATGCTCTACAAAGAAAAGGCATCTCTTCCCTCTCTGAGACTGAGCTGGTCCATTAGCATCAGAGACAGAGGGAGAGTGTTTTAGGTGGAGCACTGATGCAGTGGTCTTGCAGAAAAAATTCTACATGCGAAAGTGTACTTCAGAGCATAAATATTTTATGTCCACCAAAATAGAACTTGTATTTACCACATTATTTTATTTTTTTAAAAGAATTCCACCTTGACAACAACATTTTCACACATGTAAGGTCTTTCTTCTGTCTATAAATACATTTAGCTGAAAAAATCAGCCTTCTGTAGAATAATAATTAAGAATTCCTTTTGTGCCTAAACCTTGATGTTTACAGTACTTCCAATGTTTACTGGGTTGCTTGCAGACACAGTAATCCTGAAAAATAAGATTGAGCATTTTCCTTATTTTCTCAGCATGCACTGTAAGATCCTTGTTATATTCCCTAGCTTGCTAATGAGAAGAAAACAAAAACACATCAAATGATCTACAAAAATACTTTTCTCAAGCCATCACTTCTAATGATACCAGTGGTATGATTAGTGTTTATTAGGTAGTACACGGCCACATCTTGCTTTTCAAAGCACTGGTTTCACAGTAACATCAGATAGGCAGGCTCACTCCAGACAGCGGGATTAATGGTGTGTTTAGCAAGATGAAAGAGTGGCGTGGTTTGGGCCAGGTCTATGTAATAGTGCTCATTCAATTATCCAATCATATGCAGAGTTAACTTGCTGTTGCACTAGTAATGCTTTATCTTGCTCCCATATTCCATCAAAGACACTGCTGTTTGAAGTTCCTAACTAGTGTGCACTTTGTTCAGAATGCACTGTGTTCCCTTACTTACACATGTTTTGGTAATGTCCAGGTGTGGTAACATTTCAGAAACAGGATTCACCTTCTTTATTCTCTCTTTTAATAAAGGATATCCCTTGGTCTTTATGAATACTTTTGATTAATGAAAAACACATATCTTGGCTTCTTCTAGTGACAGAAATGTGTGTTTGGCTTCACTCATCATACAGAAAAAAATAGGGTGCAACTCAAATTGATAAATCCTTAGTGCACAGTATCTCTGTTATTACTACCCAGTGCTGCTGATGTTTTATTGAGATATAAACCTGGAGAGGGTACCACCAAAGAAATTCAAGGTGGGGAATGTTGTTTTGTTTTGTCCTGTTTTCGAGAAAACTAATGAAAATGTAATTCACAAACAAAAACCTTTAAATAGTGGCTATCAATTCTGGACATATCCTATAAACATATTTCTGTGCAGAGTGGAAATAAAAATGGAATTCTGTTCATGGTAAAATACACTTGTATCTGAAATTGTGTTTGAAAAGGAAAGAAGAGTAATTACTCATTGTTTTCCTTCATCCTTCAGCTGTGTGGTTTTATTTACATTTGACTCATTCATTTAAAGGTGAATAATATCAACAATCACTGACCTTAATTTATACTATTTGTGGTAATCCAGATATATCTTGAATCTATATACTTATTTTCATAATACTGCTGATGTAAAAATACTGAAATAGCTGTGGATGAATAGCAAAGGCAGATGTATTCATTTCTTTAATCAAATTGTCAGCAAGCATGTAGCAAATTGCTGTGGTCATTGCAAGGAAAAATCAAATACGTAATATCTAAAAAAATTCATTGGACAAACTCCCTCCTCTGCTGAATGTGTTTGTTCTCCAGTTCTTTCTGCAAAGATAGCTTTTCCAGAGCATCTGAAAACTTTAATCCCACTAAAAGTCCCCACCAAAGCTACGTATATAGATGTATGATATTTTTATCATTGTAAATAAAGCTTGTGTTCTAATCTTGGAAAGACTTTCGAAAGGGAATTCCCAGGACACAAGTGCTGTGATATGCTCTTGGCAAGTGCAGCTGTGTGGGAGTCAGTCGTGTAGGAAGTATTACATTGCTCTTTTCTTATTTACTTATTTTTAAAGCACAATAAACCACCACAGTCATTAGTTGGGATATTGTATGTAGAACACTGAACTGCTTAAAATACTGACGCTGCTGGATTTGAGCTAAACAAATGGGAATGATTGTAAGTTGCGTGTTAGCCCCATTGTAATTCTTTAAAATGGCCAAATCAATCTGCATGGTGTGTCAGTGAGCCAACAGGCACAAATGACTCAATTGGTAAAGTCAGATCTCTATGCTTGGTCTGTTTCTTCAGAGTTTCTGAGACCCTTCTCTGTTTATGGAGGGATAATCACTGCACTGAAGTTAGAGATCAGAAAAACATCTTATTTCATTAACAGTGGTGCTCTGTGTTACACACACTATCTATTGCAGTTTGCAATGTCTTAGGCTTGGTTTCCTTTCTTCAAACTAAAATTTTAAACATAGAAAAATCTAAAGCCCCACCTCTAATATTTTTAAATGGGAACTGCAATGCTATTTTCATATTTTGGGGTTAGAAAGAATCAGTATTGATGAGTGTATTTCAAACGGCAATAACAGTTAAATGTACACAGTAACCTGTAAAACCTCTACTTTACAGTACATCACAAAATTGACGACAGTTCCAGGTATACCCAGAATGAGGCATTCAGAATGAGGCAACAAAACGTTTGGCTATGTGTGCAACCCTATGACATGGCAAAGAAGTAGACTTCAGAATTCATCTCTTTTAATTCAATAGAAATATTGCTTCTGATTTCAAGACAGTTTTGCTGACAAATGCTACTCACTTGTTAACTTTGCATGCAGATCATTTTGGGACATTTTTGCTATGAGACGTCTGCTGCACAACCTGTTTTTATATGCTTGTACATCACATTACATCGTTCATTACGGAGACTAGTGACCAGAGAGGACTGCATCATAATTCGTGGGAAACTCAAATGCGTGTTTGCGTCAACATGGTGACTTACAGTACTTTAAAAAAGTTAAGTTCAGGATTTATTTCTGAAACGTCAGTGAATTTATTTTGTTACCGATATTTAATAAATGGTCTGAGAAACTGGGACTGCAGTTCCCTTAAAAATATTATTGTTAAATATTAATAAGCATTCCACTTCCTTTTGTAATTGTATGACTCTTGTGAAGATCAGCAGTTTGTTATTTAAATTTGAAGAACTTTCCACTTTTCACAGCATCGAACCTCAGGTACTTACTCAATGTTACTACCTACAGTAACTCATTCTGGTATTTGGTGGAGTTCTTTGATCTTTGAATAACATACACAAAGTTAGGCTTTGATTGAGCATGCAATTACTTAATCATGTAGAATTTAAAAACCAAACGTTAGCTTCAGACCTGTAATTTTTCCT